TAGGTCCGAATTTGTGGATGAGGTTCCTCAGACCCCAGCTGAGGAGGTGCAAGGTGACGAGGCAGCTGATGCTGAAGCCCCAAGTGCTGAGGCAGAGGAGGCAACTACTGATGCCCAAGTTGCTAAACCCCCAAGTGCTGAGGCGCGTCCTCCATCTCGCCAGGCTTAGATTAGGTTTTCCTTTTCAGTACTTTGTGTAATGGCCAGAGGCCCTCCTTTGTAATCCCTTTTGAATATTAATATAATGTTTTTCTTCATTCATTGTTGTTCTTTACCCAAGTTTTTGTGCCTTGTTAAACAAGCGAACTAGAAGTTGATTAGAGCACGAACTAAATAACTTTAACTTGGTACCCTGACATTAATCAGTCAACTGTTGGAGCCTCGGACTTAAGCAAATGAACATAACTTAAGGAGATGAACTCTTGGAGCCTCGGACTTAAGGTTGTGGCTTCTTCCCTTGGCGTTCAGCAAGCCAAAAGGAGGCATGTGCTAGCGCCTCGGAGTTCAAGCGAGGTGGCCCAGAGGTGGGTCCCGAGCCTCTCCTCCGAGGTGACGACGCATCCCAGACATGGTGGATGGTGCAGCCATGTTGAGACTTCTCCCCTTGGCGTTCAGCAAGGCCAAAGGGAGGCATGTGCTAGCGCCTCGGAGTTCAAGCGAGGTGGCCCAGAGGTGGGTCCCGAGCCTCTCCTCCGAGGTGACGACGCATCCCAGACATGGTGGATGGTACAGCCATGTTGAGACTTCTCCCCTTGGCGTTCAGCAAGGCCAAAGGGAGGCATGTGCTAGCGCCTCGGAGTTCAAGCGAGGTGGCCCAGAGGTGGGTCCCGAGCCTCTCTTCTGAGGTGACGACGCATCCCAGACATAGTGGATGGTGCAGCCATGTTGAGGTTTCCCCCCTTGGCGTTCAGCAAGGCCAAAGGGAGGCATGTACTAGCTCCTCGGAGTTCAAGCGAGGTGACCCAGAGGTGGGTCGCGAGCCTCTCCTCCGAGGTGACGACGTAGTATGACGATTTAATCAACGCATTTTATTGAGCCATAGAAATATTACAAATGTTGGGAAAGTCATCCAACATGATACAATTCATTGATAAAAGATTCTGAGGTGTTCAATGTTCCATGGACGGGGTTGTGACTTGCCCTCCATGTCTTCAATCTAGTAGGTTCCTGGTCGGATTTCTTCTCTGATCTTGTATGGACCTTCCCAGTTCGGCCCCAGGGAGCCGGAACCGGGCTCTTTTGAAGATGGGAAGACCCTCCTGAGCACAAGATCGTTGATTCGGAAAGACTTTTTCTTGACTTTGAAGTTGAAGTACCTTGTCATCTTCCTTTGGTAGGTGCCTAGCCTCAGCTGGGAGTCGTCCCTCCTCTCTTCAATGAAATCGAGGTAGAGCCTCAGGAGCTCGTCGTTGGTCACTTCGCTGAAGTGCAGACGCCGTGGAGATGGGAGTCCGACCTCCACGGGGCTCATCGCCTTAGTCCCAAATGCCATGAGAAAAGGGGTCTCCCCGGTTGGGGTCGTGGTAGTGGTTCGGATTGCCCAAAGTACTTGGGGCAGCTCATCAACCCAAGCTCCCTTGGACACATCAAGCCTCCTTTTCAGGACGTGCTTGATTGTCTTGTTTACGGCTTCGACTTGGCCATTAGCTTGTGGGTGGTGAGGTGTAGAGAAGTGCTTCTTTATGCCAAGAACTTCACACAGTTCTCTAACCTTCTTGTTATCAAATTGCCTGCCATTGTCTGAGACGATCGAGTAGGGAATTCCGAAACGGCAAATGATATTCTTCCATAGGAACTTGGAGATGTTTGCTTCTGTGATTTTTGCCAGTGGTTCAGCTTCAACCCACTTCGTGAAGTAATCAATGGCCACTATTGCAAAACTTGTGCCTCCTCTACCCTTTGGTAGAGGGCCTATGAGGTCCACACCCCACTTTGAGAAAGGCCAGGGGCTGGAGACTGCAGTCAAATCCTGTGATGGTCGTCTTTGGACGGGAGAGAATCGTTGGCACTTGTCACATTTTCGCACAAATTCGAGGGCATCCCGTTTCAGGGTAGGCCAGTAGTATCCTTGCCTCAGTATTTTTTGTGCCAGAGATAGGCCTCCAGAGTGGTTGCCGCACACTCCCTCGTGGACTTCTCTTAGTATGTATGTAGCCTCTTCTCCTCCGACGCATCGTAAGAGTGGAGAGAAGAAACTTCTCTTGTAGAGAATGTCATCGATGAAGAGGAAATAGGCAGACCTCCTTCTCAGCTTGTAAGCCTCATTCTTGTTGGTGGATAGCACCTGTTCTTTCAGATATGCTATAATTGGTTGCATCCAGGTGGGAGTTCCACCGACCCACATGACATTAGGGGCCTCGGTGGAAGGCAATAGGAGGTGCTCGATAGGTACTACGGTGAGTAGCTCTGAGTCTTTGCTACTAGCCAGCTTCGAGAGTGCGTCCGCATGAGCATTTTCGATGCGGGGAATCTGGATTAACTCGAACTTTTCAAAGGAGGGGATGAGGCTCATCACCATTTTCAGATAGGAGGCCATTATTCTGTCTTTGGCTGAGAAATTACCATTAACTTGGCTAACAACCAGCTGGGAGTCACTATTGACGAGTAGCTTCTTTACTTGCATTTCCTTGGCCAGTCTGAGGCCTGCAAGGAGTGCTTCATACTCTGCAACATTGTTGGTGGCTTTAAATCCGAACCTCACGGCCGAGGTGAGCTTGTGACCCTCGGGGCTGATGAGGACAACCCCGGCACCTGAGCCGATCTCTCCAGCTGAGCCATCGACAAAGAGGCTCCACGTGGGAGGTTCGACGGATTCCATGATTTCATCCACCTCAGGTAGGTTGGCGAATTCAGCAACGAAGTCTGCTAAAGCTTGCCCTTTGATGGCTGCCCTTGCTTTGAACACAAAGTCAAATTCACTTAGTTCCACTGCCCATTTCAACAATCTTCTCGAGGCATCGGGCTTCTGGAGCACTTGCCTCAGGGGAAAATTTGTAAGTACATGGATGGTATGAGCTTGGAAGTAGGGTCTCAATTTCCTTGAGGCCGTGATTAAGGCCAAAGCAAGCTTCTCCATATCGGGGTATCGGGTTTCCGGCGATAGGAGCGCTTTACTCGTATAGTAGACGGGAAGTTGGGTGGGCCCTTCTTCTCGAATCAAAACCGAACTGATGGCATCATTGGAGACGGCGAGATATAGTTGCAAGATGTCGTCGGGCTTCGGTTTGGAGAGGAGGGGGGCCTGCCCCAAGTGCCTTTTCAATCCTTGGAAGGCCTCTTCACATTCCTCAGTCCATTGGAATTTCTTCCCAGCCTTGAGCACTTTGAAAAATGGGAGGCACTTGTCTGTTGCTTTGGAGACGAAGCGACTAAGTGCTGCCACTCGTCCAGTTAAGTTTTGCACCTCCTTTGGCTTTTGAGGGGACCTCATCTGGCATAGAGCCTCAATCTTCTCGGGATTTGCTTCAATTCCTCGTAGACCTCCATTGTCTTGCCAATGAGGTCGGTAAGCATTTTGTTCACGAGTCTTTGGTAAGTTGCTCCGGCATTCTTCAACCCGAAAGGTATCATTCTATAGCAATAGAGGTCTCGGTCCGTGATGAAAGAGGTGTGCTCCTCATCGGCCGGGTGCATGGGGATCTGGTTGTAGCCGGAGTATGCATCCATGAAGCTCAACAACTCGTGTCCAGCCGTGGAGTCCACCAATTGGTCAATTCTTGGAAGCGGAAAGCTATCTTTCGGGGAAGCTCTATTAAGGTTGGTAAAGTCGATGCATACTCTCCATTTGTCATTGTGTTTCTTAACCAAGACCGGGTTGGAGACCCACTTCGGATAAGTGGCCTCCCTGATGAAGCCATTTTGGATGAGCTTCTGAACCTCTTCCTTTAGGGCCTCATACCTTTCTGAATTGATGGCTCTCCTTTTTTGTCTATACGGGGCAAAATTAGGATCGATTTTCAAGTGGTGGCAGCTGACCTTGGGGTCTATGCCCACCATGTCCTCATGTCTCCAGGCGAAGACGTCAAAGTTCTTGCCTAGGAAGTCCTTGATCTTTTCTCTCAAAATGTTGGATAAGCCCCTGCCTATTTTCAACACCTTAGACGGATCTCGAGGGTCGGCTGAGAAGCTCTCAAGTTCCTCTACAGGGGACGATTGAGGCTCATGTTCTATTATGCGGGGGTCGATCTCATCAGCGATCAACACCTCCTGAATAAGCGGTACGTCAATCATATCAACATCTTCCTGGTCAGTGGGAGCGTCACCTGGGACATCTGCCATGACCACATCGGCCATGATCACGTGGACGTCCCGGGGCTCTACCTTCTTAATGGAGCTCAGATAGCACTCTCGCGAACCTCTCTGGTCGCCTCTTACCGTTGCCACCCTATTTTCTGTTGGGAATTTCATGCATAGGTGGTGGATGGAGGTGACTGCTCCCAATTCCTTTAGGGCCGGTCTGCCCAAGACTCCGTGGTAAGCCGACCGGCTGTCGACTACGAGGAATTCCATAAAGTTCATTGTAGTTTGAGGAGATTCTCCCATCTCTACTGCTAGTGTTATCTTTCCTCTCGGAGTGATACTATCGCCGGTAAATCCGTACAACGGAGTGGTTGTGGGCGTCAACTGGTGGTCCAATATCATCTTGTCAAAGGCGGACCCGAATAAGATGTTGACGGAGCTGCCGTTGTCGACTAGCATTCGTTTGAGCCCATTTCGGGCTATGACAGCCCTCACCACCAGCGCATCGCAATGGGAGTAATGAACTCCTTCGGCGTCTTCCCGGGTGAAGACAATGGGTGGTACTTGGTTTCTTCGAGAGCTACTATCCACAATGTAGCTTGTCAGAGGGGGGTGCTTAGCCTCCCTAGCATAATTTCTTTTGGCGTTACGTGTTTCACCGCCAACATAAGGGCCTCCAAATATGGTATCTCGTGGATAGGGGCCTCATCTTGAGCTTGCCTATTTCTTCGGTGTCTACGCCCTTTCCTGGGCCTCTCTGTGTCTTGCTCTCTTCGCCTTGGGGAGACATCCCTTTCACGAGGAGCGGCCGCCTCACGCCCATGTCGGTTGTCTTGCCTGGGCGGGGCCTGTTCGCCTGGGGCAAGTTACGTCTTTCCCTAGCTGATTCCTGTCGGGGGCGGCGTGCATAATCTCTGCAATTCGCGGTGTCGTGCCCGTAGGACCTATAGTGCAAACAGTATCGAGGGAGGTTTGGATTTGACCTATTTCTAGGTGCAAAACCTCGGCCTCGGCCTCTCCCTCTACGGAGTCTCTGCTGGGCCTGTATCTGATGTGGGGTCAGCGGTTGGGTTGACATCCTCATACGCCAAGGTTGGCACCGCGTTCAGAGTTATAGTGGCCAGGGCTTGGCCGGAGTTCTCATTTCCAAATCGGTTCATCTGGTAGTCCATGAGGTGGGAGGTCGGTCCCCGACCTCGCTGTCTTTGAGGAGGTGGGAGGCCCTTGCTCGCCCCGTTCCTATGCTCAATCAATTCTTCATTGATTATCTCCCTTCTCATCATCTCTAGTAGGGCGTCATAAGTGGTTGGGTCTTGATTTTGCACATCCCTCCAGAATAGGGTGTTCATGTTCAATCCTCCTCTCAATGCAGATAGTGCCTCTCTGTCGGTGACTTGTACACAGTAGGTCATCTCGTCGGTGAAGCGGGATAAGAAACTTTTCAAGGACTCGCCATGCGCCTGTCTCATGTCTTGAAGACGCTGAATAGGGGCCTCTCCTTCCTTGCTCACTACGAACCTTTTCAAGAAGGTAGTTTTGAACTCGGGCCAGCTTCGGATGCTCCCAGATAGTAGCCTACTATACCAGATTTCAGCCGCTCCACTGAGGGTTAAGTGGAATGCTCTGCACTTTACAGCTGGGGTGGCGCCCCTCAGGCTCATGTGAGTTTTGTAAGCGTTGAGGTGCTTTTCTAGGTCACCTCTTCCATCATACTTTGGTATTTTCGACATGACAAAGTGGCCCGGGACCTGGGCATTTCTCAGTTCTCTTGAGAACGGCAGGTTCTCATCATCATCATCCAAGTCATAGGACCTCTGTTGCTCATCAGAATCGTAGTCTTCGGCCTCGTACCTCGGTTGTTGGTGAGAGGGTCCGGGCCGGTTCCTAGCCTCTTCCTCCCTCCTTTGTGGCCTACTTCTAGGCGGGACAGCGCGGGGGGCATTTTTGTGCCTTCTCTCCGGCTGCTGGGGCATCGGAGGTGGAGGCTGTGGCCTCGTCCGAGGCTGCTGAGCCTGCTGTTGACTAGGTCTTGGTTCGGCAGGGCTAATTCTGTCAAAAATACTTCCTGCTCTCCTCTGTCTTGGGTCTCGCTCATATGGGGTGGAAAGTTATCAGGGCTCATTTGGACCTTGGAGGGTCGGCCAGATGCATAGTTGGAGGAAATGTCAACTCCCACTTCCCTCTCGAATGGGCTTTCACCTCCGCCATAGTCTGGCGAGGCAACCCTATGACTTTGGACCTCGTCCTCTTGCTGATAGTGCCCATGGGGGGCATATGGGGGAATGGGAAAATCTCCTTGGCCTTGCATCTGGGCCATGAGCTCTCTCATGGCCAAGTTTTGGTTGGCTATATCCCTCATGTTGGCTGCCATGGTAGCCATTTCTCTTGATAGTTGCGCTGTCGCACGCATCCCACCTCTCCTTTGGTGGTGGTGGAGCCTCTGCCGAGCTGATGGGACAGCAGGTTGGGGAGGCACATTCGTATTTTCTCTTACCCTCCTTGGAGGAGTATCTTCGTTAGAACTCATTTTTTTTTCTTTATCAAACTTAGATTTCTCCAAGTGGTAGGGGTTCCTCCTGCTCTTTTTCAAGAACAAATTCTTTTTCAAGGGGGGTTGCCCAAATATTTTTCAGTAAGCTTTTACCACAAGGTTGCTCGTGGTTATGGTATGGTTTCCCACAGACGGCGTCAATCTGTTGACCCCAAAAAGTGCGCCAACAGATGCTGGTCCCACCCGCGCTTGCGTGGGCGAATGTCCAACACGCTAAGACACGTGGACGGTCTAAAAGGAGCGGTTCAAAGGGGCGTGGGAGTAGCCCAACGACGCGGGACGGTGACGTTCGGAATCCGCCGGGTTGTTCGTAATCCGATTGTACGATAATTACCAACCGGTGCTCGTAGATGTATATGTAAAAATGTATAGACTCGATTTGTGTATTGCAAGTAAACGAGAGAGAGTTGAGTAAATGTAGTTTTTAGTATTGATTCTTGCATTAGCCTTTTACATTATACAATGGGGGTATTTATAGTGATACATATGGAATGGGAGCCCTTGGATGAAGTGGCACGTGGCCTCATCTCCTCAGTTCAAATGTCCGTTCTTAGGCATGGGACTTGACTTGCTAGCTTACGGCGCATTTATTGCTTGTGCAGGGCCTCCATGCTAGTGACAAGACTTGACCTTTATGCTTATGACAAACGTTCCAACAATCATTCGAATAAGATCTGTGCAGGCGATCTCTTGGGAGAAGTGACCATGGAGGATGTTTCCTTGTGGTTCAGAGGCTCGCGCATCAGCTTCGGGGCTTCGGCCATTTGTCATGATACTTCTACTTGAGGGCCTTAGCTGCTCTCAGCAGGTTCTAGCAGCCGGGCTTCGGTTCGTAGGCCTCAGTCAATGGACCTCGAACAAAGAGGAGTTTGGGCAGATGGACTTCGGCTCAAAGTAGTTCGGATGTAGCCCCACCTCGGCATTGTATGCCACCTCGGCAGGAATGCCACGTGGATCGCCATGAGTGGGCCATTGTCCGAGGTAGGTTGGCCAGGTGTGACAACACGCAACATATATAGTCCAATTTATGTTTTAAAGCTCAAATTCATGATCTCAGTCTGCAGAACTTCAGGAGGAGCACTAGTTCTGGAATGAGTTGCATTACTTGGAAAGAAAGGGGGTTGGTAATGCTTGTGATAATGAAAATTAACTTTTCTATTTGTTTGTAAAAGGGGAATGCATTTTGGAGATTGATCAGCTTAAACATATACAATGCCTCTATTAGTTTGTTAAGCTTCCAATTGTATCATCCAAGGAATTTATATTTTCATACAAGGAACTAGTCAATAGAACTATTTAACTTCTAATTTCTTAATCTGTTTATTTTCCTTTCAGACTACATCTTCCCAAAGCAGCCTTTTTGATCATTTGATTAACATCTGGGAATTTAATGAGGGGCCTGTTCCAGGCACCTGCAACCTTTATTTCTTGGTGGACTTCAAGTTTCAGTCACCATTTTATCGACAGGTGAGCACCAACATTTTTTAATTTGTCGTAAAAGAGTCTAAAAACAATAATACTTTTTATCATTTTTAATGGATTAAAGATATTTCCTGTCTGGTTGAATTGTTACAGCATTTAATGCATTTATCAGTGAAAGATGTCTAATTTCCCCTTCACAATTCCTAGACTTGGGATTTAAGAACTTGTTATAATAGGGAATATAGATGAGTTATCAGAATTCTTGCCAAGGCAACATCAGAACGATGGAAAATTTATGATCTTTTCTATAGTTGTCTGGTGTCTCTAATATCATCCTTTGTCATTATCGGGATCATTTTTTCCCTGCCGTCATCACTTATATACAGCACTGCACAATCCTTTACTCATCTGCATGCAGTAGGCATTATGTCAAATCACATTCCTTCCATCACCAGTTTTATTTTTCATCCTCAATGATTTAATTTATTTTTTTATTATTATTCTTTTTTCCCCTTTAAGGTATATTGATATATAGTTTTACTTAATAGTTTTAAACCTCAATGTCTATGTATCTATTTCTTGAAATATGGCACTTCGGTATCGAGGATGTCTATAATGTGTTCTAATTGAATATCACTAACGTGGCAAACTCAAATCATTTTAGTTTCGCAACATTTTTTTTTTTTAATAAGTAATCAAATATTTTATTAATCAAAAGGTAATACACAAGAGGTGTATTATACACTTAAACAAGAAATAAATGTTATGAAATTAGGCAGCCCATCTATGTGATTAGAAGCTGCAGCATTAAATCAATTATACAATGTCAAATAAAATAATTCTCTAAACTGCTCTAAAGTCTTTATCTGATCATCAAAACAGCGCTCGTTTCTTTCTCTCAACACACACCAAACAATGCAGCTTGGACTAAGGTCCCAAACAAGTTTACTGTCCTTGTCACGAAACTTTCTCTTCCATGCTTTCAACATATCTTCCATATGCCTTGGTATCACCCAATCCACATGTTGAGAAGCCAGAATATCATTCCACAGCAAACGAGCGCCATCATAATGGAGAAACAAATGGTCAATCGTTTCCCCATCCTTTCTGCACATATAACACCAATTTGTAATATAAAACCTCCTCAATCGAAGATTATCCGCCGTTAACATTTGTCCCCTCACTATCGTCTATAGTAAAAATGCCACCCTTGGAGGCAATTTACACTTTCAAACCATCTTCCAAGGGAATGAATTCTCCGCAGATCCTAATAAAGATCTAAAATAAGTGCTAACTGAGAAAATGTCATATCTTGCCAGCGTCCACCTGATGTGGTCACTCTCTCCAACCCTGATATGCACTTCATACAAAGAGGTCAACAACAACGCATAATGATCCACTTCCCAATCTTGTAATCCCCTTCCAAAAACAATGTTCTAGTTGATGCTCCCATTTTGTGTATCTAATACATCATTTACCATAGCAGATGGCATCACGACAATACAATACAGAAAAGGAAATCTCTCCCTTAGTGGTTGATCTGTACACCAACAATCATCCTAAAAGCTGATAGTATTGTCACTCCTCACACCAAATGTCACTCTATTCCGAAAGTCACTCCACCCTCGCCGAATATACCGCCACAAACTCACCCCGTAGGTACCACGACCCTCAACGGAACACCATCCACCCTCCATAATTCCATAGTTCTCTTCAATAATTTCTCTCCAGAAACTCTTCCTCTCCACCCCAAATCGTCATAGCCACTTACCCAACAAGGCCTTATTAAACAATACAAGGCTCCTCAATCCGAGTCCCCCAACCCTTGTGATAGAATAAACCGCACCCCAATTGACCAAATGAAATTTCCTCTCATCTCCTAACCCTCTCCAAAGGAACTCCCTTTGGATCCTTTCTAGTCTCTTAGCCACTGTAACAGGAATGGAAAACAAAGACAAGAAATAAGTGGGGAGGTTCAAGAGAGTAGACTTGATAAGTGTAAGGCGACCTCCCTTTGAGAGGTACATACGCTTCCAACCCGCTAACCTCCTCTCCACCATTTCCACAATACTATCCCAGATGTGTATACTTTTGAACCTTGCTCCTAGTGGGAGGCCAAGATATGTTATAGGCAACTGCGCAACTTTACAGCCCAATGTAGCAGCTAACCCCTCCACGTTATCGACCTCTCCAACAGTGATAGCCTCAGATTTCCCCAAGTTTATCTTCATTCTAGACACGGCTTCGAAGCACAGAAGCAAATGACGCAAGTTCCTGAAATGTCTGCATCACAAAAGATCATAGTATCATTTGCAAATAGCAAATGAGATATCTACAATTGACCAATCCTAAAGCCCTTTAACAAACTCTCCTCCACAGCTTTCTCAACCATTGTACTAAATGCCTCCATTACAATAACAAACAGTAATGGAGACAAAGGATCCCATTGTCGCAAACCTCTACTACTCCGAAAATGACCTTTAGGAGTGTCGTTTACCAAAACTGAAAAAGAGACAGTAGAAATACAAAATTGAATTCATTGGCACCACTTAACCCCGAAACCACATCTCCTGAGCATATATAATAGGAAACCCCAGTTCACGTGATCATAGGCCTTTTGAATATCAAGCTTACATAGCATTCCTGGAACCCTTTGACGTAGTCTTGAATCAATACATTCATTTGCTATGAGTACGCAATCCAAGATCTGTCGCCCTTTGACAAAAGCATTTTGAAATTTAGACACCACTTTTTCCAGCACCTCCTTTAATCTATTAACCAAAACCTTTGCAATAATCTTATACACCCCACTTACTAGACTGATAGGTCGAAATTCCTTAATGTTTGTCGCTTCTGATTTTTTTGGGATCAACACAATAAATGTGGTATTAGAACTTTTCAAGAATCTGCCACACTGGAAAAAGTAAGCAAAAACATCCACAATGTCCGATCGTATCAAATCCCAACAAGTCTTATTGAATGCAAAGGAAAATCCGTCTGGTCCTGGGGCCTTATCATCATTCATACTGCACACCACCTTCCTAATCTTATCCTTCCCAAATGGTCTTTCTAACCAACTGACATCCTCCTCAGAAATAGTCGAAAACTCTAGCCCCTTAAGTTTTGGCGTCCAATCAAACTGCTCCTTATAAAGATTTTGATAGAAACTCACCATTTGGGTACCAATGTCCTGTGGGTCCTCATAAGTTACCCCATCCACCTCCAGCATAGAGATACGATTGTTGCGTCTGTTGGAATTGGCCACCCTATGGAAAAACTATGTACATTTATCACCCTCTCTCAACCACTTGACCCTAGATTTCTGGCGCCAAGCAATCTCCTCCATTTCCACCGACCTCTCCAACTCTCCCCTTAATTCTTGACGTCTCTCCCTCTCCTCTCCTCCCAATTCTCGACTTTCCTCCTTCATATCTAACTCTTCTATTTCTGAGATGCATTGATTTTTACGCCAGTTAACATCCCCCACCACCTCTTGAGATCCTCTTTTAAAGCCTTTAATTTCTGATCCATCACATAACTGGGGCACCCCCTGAACTTGTAAGAGGCCCACCAAGTCCGTACACGTTCCCCAAAACCGTCCACTTTAAGCCACATCTTTTCAAACCTAAAAGGCCTTCTCCTGCTATACCCTACATCCCCAGATAATGAAATAGGAAAATGATTTGAATACGCCCTCCCCAGTCTCCTCTGAGCGACGTCCGGGTACATAGCCTCCCACTCCACACTAATCAAGAACCGATCGATTCTAGAATGAGCAGGTTGCTCCCGATTAGATGACCAAGTAAAGTCTCCCCCCATCAAAGGCATATCCACCAACATATTCTCCCTAATAAAATCTGAGAAGTCCTACATAGCCCCTGTTAGTCTCTCGCCACTTGACCTTTCAGTAGGAAAGCGGACCACATTAAAATTGCCCCCCTATGCACGTTGGGAGGTTCCACCAAGCCATCATACCTGCCAATTCATCCCACAAACCGCCTCTGCTTTCATCAACATTAGACCCATAAACTCCTAAAAACATCCAAAGAAATCTATTCCCAATATTTGTAAATGAGAGGGATAGAGAAAATAGCCCTTCACTAACTTCCTCCAAATGTAAAACTCTAGTATCCCACATAATTAGCACCCCTCCTGAGGCCCCCATTAATCCCACAAACTGATACCCATAAGCTACTTACGATAACCCTCAAAACGATCTCCAACTTTGTCTCCTGTAAGCAAACAATGTTCGTCTTCCAACCCCTTAAGAGATTCCGAACACCCAACCTTTTTCCAATTTCATTAAGCCCCTCACATTCCAGCTAACTATTTTTGGGATCATCTTGACGCACCGTCATCCCTCCCATCAATCCTCTTCTTGACTCACCACCCCTCACGTCATAATTAACCGAGCATTCAAGCCATTTAAGCTCACGGTCACCCTTTCTTCTTGTCTTACCACTTGGTGTATCCGTCACTTGTCCCCTACTGGCCTCCAACTCCTCAAATAATTGTATGAGCTTATGTTCATACCCGTCGCAGGACACTCCCACCATTTTGCTGAATTCCAAAATTTTTTGAAGAGCCCAGCTCGATGGTGACGGTCTAATGTCAAGCTCACTCATTTCCACTATATCTTCAGAGGAAAACTAATCATATTATAAGTCCTCTTCCTCCACCCGAACTACATCCCTATTTATATCCTCCTTTTTGGCGCCTCTACCCACACAACCAGAGCTTTATCAATCCCTGACCCCCCTCATTTATAGACTTAGAATATCTCCTACAGTATGTATTCGTTACCATCGTTGCCAAACCTGTTGCCCCTTATTTCTTGAAAGCCGAAGCTGAACTTTTTGCTGTTACATTGTTGGTCTCTTGCTCCATAGTCGACATTAATGCTCTGCTAGCCTCGTGTCTTTGGTCACATCCGGCCTCTCTGACTCCAAATTCATCAAACTCGGCTCCCCTTCCTTGTCCCAGAGTTCCACCTCCACCCCTCTACTTGGTACTTGGGATTCGCCACTTGGCTCAGCCATCACCTC